TTTTAAAATTGTTATATAATATAACTTATATTAAATTCAATATTACATTCTCACTTTAATTATATTAGAATTAATGATAAACTACTGTTATAGCAATTGTTCTAGTTATGAACAAACCTAAAAACTACATATTAATAAAATTAATTACTACAGTATATTAATTAATAAAATAAAAAATTTAAATATTCCGGATAACATTGTTGAGAGCTTCATAATATGAGGTCAAATCGACTTTATCCGACAAATTGTTTCTGATAATACGGTCGGGAATAGATTCAAAAGTTGCCGTATCATATCTATCCTTATCATCACCATTGCTATCAATACTACCGGTGCTACCGGTACTATCGGTGTTACGAATGTTGCCCACACAGGCTTTATCATTCCCATTCCACCTATGGAACGGTAGGCACCCACACGTGTAGTTTATATTAGCCAACCCGGACGGCAAACATATATGAGTGCAGTCGTGATTCATACACTTGTTAGCACCGGCAGGTTGTCGCAACTTGTGCACGATTTTCATTGCCGTAATGTCTCTACCCGTTTGATATAACTCTCCAACTGTCGGGTTTGTAGTCACCATGCTCATATTCCTGCCATATATGGTATGCTCTTTATTGTTTACCCAAAACATGTAGTTTCCAAATATATCCGTAGCCGCTATATGACTGAAAAATGTGTCGGACTCGTAGTGAAATTGCAGGTTGCTGCTATCGTATCCGATTGACAGAATTGTGTTAATAGATGAATAACTATTTTCCCGGCTGACCCAATATACTCGTTTACCCTGAACATCTACATTTAATGTGTATCGCCTAATATACTGCGGCGCAACCAGTGTTGTAACAGCCTGTCCATTTTGGGACGATCTCATTATTGTACTTTTGTCTCTATCCCCATATTGGGAACTGTAGCCATCATACACATAGTTAATCCAAAATAAAGTTGAGTTGATTGTGTCTACCCTAATATCGCCAATAACGCATGATTCATGAGTGACAACAGGGTACATTTGTTTATCGGTTGCAGTCATATTCAGAGCGTATATCCCGCTGATACTTTGCTTATTATATTTATTACAAACCGCAACATACAGTATATTATGGATCCAATCGAGTGCCAGAGACTTGTGGTCAATGGTAAACCTATTATCCCCTTCAGTGACTATATTGTTAGGTTGTTGTTGACCCTCGACTAACGGCGCGCTAAATATGACTCCTTTGGACAAGCCTTTAGTACCGACAAAATAGTTGCCTGTATAGCTATAGTCGATAGCACCGACCGTTTGGTTAATATGGCGGACAAATTGGGTGTCCATATGATAGACGGCGCGATTAGGGATATCTTTGACAAGTCTTATGTCTCGTTCTTTGTTTACGACTAAGAATAAGGGGTCAGGCGTTGACATGAATTGAATCAAAGTTGTTGTGTTTTGGATCACTTCAGGTATTTGTGCCGGTGCTGGAAGTGTAGTTTTTGGGTCATTGCATGCTTCCCAGTGATCGTCATCAGAGCACAGGCACCGGTAGTCCTATTTATAAGCATGTAAGCAATATTGATTAAATATTGTACATCACAGGCTTAAATTTAAGTACTGGATCAAGTGTGTTTTTAGAATTTGTACAAGTAAATTAAATTAATTACTAAAAGTAATAATGCTTATTATAAATTTTGTTGTAATAATCAAATCTAATGCAAAAATAATAGTGATAAACGAAACTTAATTTTAAAATATAATAAAAACATTCCTGATAATATTTTTCTAATTGGTAACCTAGCTTAATATCATAACCTATTAAACATACTGGTTAATATCAGTTAATTTAAAAAGTACAATTATGAATTAGATAAATATGATAGCTCCTACCTGTTTGCCATTTGGCACACATAAATGATCGCAACTATTATTACGACAATAATTAGCTCCCATTTGTTGTTTCAATGGATGCATAACTCGCACGTAATCCATGTCCGTATTCCTACTGAACCAGACACCAGCCTTGACCAGCATTTCCACTTCAGATGACGTACTTGTTATGTCTAACCTATATATGCCTCTAGTGTTGGTCCAGTACACGGATCCGTTAAACACGTCCATCGATGAACAATCACTGAACCACTCTCTCGATTGATTTAATGTCTGTCGACTACCGCCCGAGTAGTCGACAGATGACAGCGAATACAACTCATTATCAATCCATACGATAGTCTTCGACCGAAAGTCAATCCCCAAACACACCGGAAGTCCGATGTCCTCATAGACCAGAATTTTGGGATCACTTCCATCTTCGTTACACTTCTGGATAACCGCCGATCCGTTGGAAGCGATATATTCCGACCAAACGATAAATGAGTCAAACGGGTTGACCACCACCTGACCTGTACTCCATGTACGGTACTTATGGTGGTAGTTATGGGTCACGGGATAAGTCGCTTCCGGTTCGTGAATATTAATGACATTAATGTTGGTCTCGTTGTAGTAAAAGAGCAAATCGTGGACCCAATCGATGGCCAGATATCCGCTGATTATATCCTCGGACACAATGATCCTCTTAAATAGTTTGAGCCGTGTTTTGCCGTCAGTTGAGTCCACTTTTGTCTTAAACTCAGCCATCAATAATGTCTTGTATTTAATGGTTGACCAAATCATATACCGGTTGTTGTAGTTGATGTCCAATCCATTTATATCATAACTTGTTGTGAGAAACTGTTTAGCATTACCAGCATTTTTGATACCCCTGTCCCCATTCAAGTAGTCATAGCTAATGCCTAACCCATTGTTGAATAATATGACGGGTACTTGGGGTGAACCAGTAGGTAATGCATATTGGTGGCGCAAAAAATTAACAAAAAATAGAAATATAATATTATAATACATTATAAATTTTTAAATGTTATTACAAAATATTTAATTAATTTTGAAGCCTATTTAAAATAATTTACATTTGAGTAGTGAAATCCTTTTAATGAATAAATAAGAAATTTATATTTGATACCAATATGCTCATATTTCATGAGTCATAAATAATGAATCACAATACTGTATTTGCATTATAATTATTATTTTTGAGTAAACTATTTCATATGAAGTTTACATAAAAATATAATAAAATTATTCATAAATTAATCATTCTTAAAAATCAAATAACATAGCTACGTGCATTTTAAAATAAATATTTATTTAATATTTAAACTGAAGCATTCACAATAAAATCTATTTAAAAATATGATTTATAATACTATTGACAAGATAATAAATATTTTTACATAAATGATCTATGGTAAACTTGCACTATGGTAATACTTATAATCTAATAGAAATTAACTTGACTATTATTGATAATCACATCTAAGAAAAAAGTTTGTTGTTATGAAAAACAGGTTTGAATACGGCATTACCATTTGATGGATATAAATAATGTACAAATATTTTTAGTATTTTAAAGTATGGTTATAATTTGTGAACAAAATTAAATAAATTTTGAACCAAATTAACTCAATTTTAAAACTATTTTCTTAAATTATAACCATACTTTAAAATATTAAAAATATTTGTACATTATTTATATCCATCAAATGGTAATGCCGTATTCAAACCTGTTTTTCATAACAACAAACTTTTTTCTTAGATGTGATTATCAATAATAAGTTGTATTATATTATTTAAATTACTAGCTTATAAGTAATTATTATTAAATTACCGATATTTAATTAATTATTAAATTAATTAAATAATTTTTTTACACAATATATAATTATTTTAACTTTATCTTAGTTTTATAAGGATTAATATTTCATGTATTAAATTTTTTTCAGGATACTATTAATATCCTTGATACACTAATTAGGTACGTTTATTATCAAGTGCAGACATACTATATCAGATATAGTATATCTAATATAAAATATTTAATAAATACGGGTATTTTTTTATAAAATATTTATAAAGTACTTAGATAGACAGCTCCACATTAAGGTGTGCTTGCACTATTTTCATTGAAATTGATAATACTTGGATATATATAAATAGCAAGTTATTTAAGTTTAAGAAAGTTAGGAGTGTAATTCATTCTAATTTTTTATAAAATGAATTTTTTTTTTATTTGTCGTATATTTGTCTTTTTGTCATGTACATTTGGTAAATATCATATGTTTTATTGTTCTGAACTTTACATTAATGTTAACTAACTTTTATATTTCAATAGCGGTAATTAAATGTAGACAACAATGTGTGGGTCGTAAAGGAATTGACACTCAATACTGTGTTTGCAACGCTACCTATTGCGATGACCTAGATCCTATTACCAAACAACCCGTTGGAACTATACTGTCCTTCCAGACCAGTAAAAGTGGGGATCGATTCAAAGAATCCCAGTTAAAGTTTACCAAACAAAGTGTCCATGATAACGCTGATCGTTTCGTACTGACCCTGGACAAAAGTCAAAAGTTCCAGAAAATATTTGGTATAGGTGCTGCGTTTACGGATGCAGCAACTATTAATATTGGTAGTTTGCCCAAGGCCATGTCCGATAGAGTTATCAAGGACTATTTCTCAGCATCTGGTGTTGGTCTCAGTATGGCTCGCATACCTATAGCCGGATGCGATTTCTCTACACATGAATACACATACGATGATACAAAGGATGATTATTCCCTTGCACATTTTGCTTTGCCGGATGAAGACATCAAATATAAAGTAAATTTCTTATCAAAATTAAATGTAACAAACCTTAAAAACTTATATATCAAAGCATGAATCTCGCTGTTGAGTTATTTAATTTGTACATCCAAAAATAGTAATGTTACTTCATTAATGACATAGACACTTACACACCTGGCTTATTTAATATTACTTTATATTTAGTTTATTAATAAATGATTACTTTTAAAATTTATTTGTATTCTGTTGAAATATATAGATCCCGCAAATTAACCTAGCTAAACAGGTGGCTCAACATGGTCTTAAACTTTATGGAAGTCCCTGGAATACACCGCATTGGCTCAATGACAAACAGTTATTGAAAACTCAACCAGACAAACAATACGAAACATGGGCTAATTATTTTGTCAAGTAAATATATAGTAATCAAATAATAAAAAATAATTAAATAATTTTATATAAAAATAGATTCCTGGATGAGTACAAAAAGCATGGCATTGAGTTATGGGGACTGACCATGCAAAATGAGCCAATGTCATTTAGTTCAATGAATTTTGTAAACGCATCCATTGAACGTGATTTTGTGAAAAAACACCTTGGTCCCGCATTGACAAAGGCTGGATATACAAAAGACAAAATGAACTTGATGGTCTACGATGATGGCAGTGAAAAGAATCCTATGATCGAGTACGTGGACACGTGTCTCAGTGACCCTGATACTGCTAAATATGTAACAGGTAATATATTACAAGTTATTATAATTTAAATATCCTTACATATGTTAATATGCTAACATTTGTACATTTGATAGGCATTGCATTCCACTGCTACCTGGCCAATAGATACGCGGCAGTTGATGCCCTCCATAAGAAATATCCGGAATTTTTCACTTTTATGACTGAGTGTTGTTACGGCTTTCACAAGCCGGACGATCCTCAAGAACGGGCCAAACTGGGGGAATGGAGTTCCGGTCCGGGGAATGCCAATCAAATCATAGATGTATGTGTGATATGTGGTTAACTTTAGTATAGTTATTAAATTATTATAATAAAATTCATTTACTATTAATTAGACGTTTACCCATTATGTAAGCGGATGGGTGGAGTGGAATTTGGCCCTGAACGTGTTTGGTAACCCTAATAAGGATAAGAAAATGGCGGGCGCACCCCTGATCATTGATGTTGATAAGAAAGAATATTACAAAAATCCCCAATTCTATGCCATTGGACATTTTAGCAAGTTTGTAGCACCCGACTCAGTTAGGGTTGAGTTGAATGTTAGTAAACAACCTGGTGGATTTAATTCTATGGCATTTGAAAGGCCAGATAATGCAGTGGTCATTGTTATGGTAAATGATAGTCCCACAGCGCTTGACATAACAATAAATGACCCCGCTCATGGTAAAGTTGATACACATATACCCGAGCATTCAATTCAATCGTATGTGTATTGGAATTAAATATTTTGATAACACAATAAAAATATTATAAAATCATAATATCTGTAGTGGGAATATGAAATAAACACATTGGGATATTCATTATAATCTTTTATACTACGTGCTATAGTCATAAAGCTTTAAAATGTTAAACATACTGTATTATTTTGAACATAAAATCATATATTTGTATGACTAAACAAGCAACATTTTAAAGCTTTATGNAAGCAACATTTTAAAGCTTTATGACTATAGCACGTAGTATAAAAGATTATAATGAATATCCCAATGTGTTTATTTCATATTCCCACTACAGATATATTATTATTTATTTCTAAATTTTAAATAAAATTTTATGACAATAGTCTGGTTTGTAAAATATGAAACTTTATAATAGCATACGGTTGTAGTGACTAAACATCTCGGTTTGAACTGCACAGCTCCGGTATTTGACCCGGGGTATCTGTCCTGGACAAATGCAAAGAAACTAACATGTCCTTGAATTAACTAATTCCAGATTACTATAATGATAAATTAAAATATTCATAAAAATTTATTTCTAATTATTTAATTAATTGTAGCAAATATTTAACATAATCTGAGTAGCTACACAATTATAATCCGTGTACCAGATTATATGCTAACTTGCATGATTGAATTTTTGAAATTAATATCAATAAGGTGTAAATAACTGTAATTTAAATTATTTAAATAAAATCTCTTATAGACATAAATCTGAATCACGAAAACAAAATAATAAAAGTTTGAACAGCTTTTGCCCATATTCAAATAAATTCATTGAAATGTAACGGTTATTATGTCATTTAATTTTTAAAATCTACTGATCTATGAAATATTTTTTTAAAATCGCCAAAACATGTAAAAACATTTATGATTTTATCTATTAAATGAAAATATTAGATTTTTTATAAATACAGCAGAACCTCGTTAAGTGTTTTTTGGCAATAACATTTGACCCAGGGGTCACAACAACATAATTTTCAATTCATATGAGAAATCACAAGATTCCGCATTTCTGGTTAAACATTCATTAAAACTAAAAATCATCATGATAATTTAATTTTAGATTGAGTAACTTCATCTAAAGGTGCAATCATAGTATTGGTATATTAATTTTATGAGCCATGGATTGTTTTGAAAATAACTGTAAAAATATTTTTAATATGAAATTAATTTATTTTATAGTTAATTAAATGTTCTTACTCGTTAGTACAAGTATACCAGATATATCTTTGATAATATTGAGCAAGCCCAATGAGACAAAAGTATAAATGTGTCACAAAGCACTTATATGCACTTTAACATGATAATTAAAACAAATGCAAAAACATAAGATTATAATTATCTTGTTTACGAGAAGTAATTTGAAAACAATTCAACAAAATTGAGCAATCAAAAAATTAAAAATTTTTATATAATAATAATATAGCCGTTATCAAGTACATGTCTCTTATAGCCTAATTGTTCATATAGGGTGTAAGTGTTTATAAAATAAGAGCTATTTTATCTAATTAATAAGTATTTGATAAATTATAATTGAATATTGTAATTGCTCCTAATGATTTTTATCCATATGTTCCAGATTATAAAATTATAAGTGTTCCCGTAACATAAAATGAAAAACATATAAAATAGTTTTTTATCATTACTTTTAAATACTTTAATATTTTTTATAGTAAAAATATAATCACTTTTCAATTAATATTTGTTACCAGAATAAATAGCAATGAAATATTTTGTATTTAGTTTGTTGAATATTATTCTCATTAGTATAACATTAGGTTAGAAAAAATTATTTTATGTAATCATGAGTTAATTGACAATTTTATTTTCAGTGGAAAGCCGTCGCGACTGTATAGCCAGGAAAGGAAAGGACAGCCCATACTGTGTCTGTAACACCACTTATTGCGATGATTTGGATCCTATTGTTAAGCAACCGAAGGGAACGGTATTATTGTTTGAGACCAACAAAAGAG